AATTATAGACTAAAATTAATCTTTCAAGACGAATACAATTAATACTGATTTCTCAGTCCTAACAGTTTTGAACCATTCTGTTTACATAGTGTTGTTATGGAGTGTGCATGAATCAAAGTGTTAATGATGATGAAAACATGGAGGAAGATTTAGAAGGTACATACCATGTTGCAATATTTACGTTTTAATTAAGATAACAAATATATGTTTAAACATAAATGTCATCAGTTTATATTTATTTAATAAGATACACACTACGCAGGGGTTGATTTTAGAAGCAACAAGAATAHTGTGACGATGCGGGAATACTATTGTTATAAGTTCCAGATTTGTTCGAACGACAATGTGCTTCTATTGGGGGGAAGGTTGTTACAACAGTTCGTGGTAGATATCTACATCAAGATTGAGACTTCCCGTTTGGATTTTTGTCAGAAAAACCAAGCCAAAATAAGAGCAGATTTATACCAAGGWGTTGTGGATTGCGTCAATGCCGGTGAGGTGATGCCCAGTAGAATCGGACAACGGGTTGTGTTGCCTGCAAGTTTCATCRGAGGACCACGTGACATGCGACTATGATTTCTTGATGCCATGACTTTAGTGAAAGATGATGGGAAGCCCGATATATTCCTTACAATGACGTGCAATCCGACGTGGCCTGAAATCCTTAGAGAGCTTTTGCCGGGTCAGACCGCACCCGATCGGCCAGACCTTGTCGCAAGAGTTTTTCGTGCGAAACTAGAGGATATGAAAGACCAACTCTTCAAAAAGCASATCCTCGGTAAATTCGGGGCATATGTTTATGTCATCGAGTTTCAAAAGCGTGGTTTGCCGCATGCCCATTTTCTTCTGATAATGACACCCGAACACAAAATGACCAATCCAGATCATTACGACAAGAGTGTRTGTGCTGAAATTCCGGACCCAACCAGGTATCCCCAAATGCACGAACTGGTCGTCCAACACATGATGCATGGTCCTTGCGGTCATTTACGACCGTCCAGTCCTTGTATGCAAGGTGAGCCGAAAAAATGTCATTTCAGATATCCCAAACAGTTCAACGACAAGACGATGCAAGCTGAGGACTCATATCCATTATATCGACGGAGAAACAGTGGAATTAATGTGAATGTACGAGGCAACATCCTGGATAATAGATGGGTGGTCCCATATAACCCGAAGCTATTAATGATGTTCAATTGTCATATSAATGTTGAGGCTTGCTCGAGTATAACATCTATGAAGTATGTCTTCAAGTATGTTTACAAGGGTCACGACAAACAAGTTGTTCATATCGATTCARAGGAAGAAAGGGTCGTTATTAACGAAATTAGAAGGTTCCAAGATGCACGTTATGTCTCCCCTCCTGAGGTTATATGGCGGATTTTTAGCTTCACATTTTCTCAAATGCACCCTTACGTGATGGCATTGCAACTCCATCTCCCTAACAAACAGATGGTTAGGTTTAGAAATGATGATATAATGACAGATATTGTCGATAGTGAGAGAGATAAGCGAACGATGCTGACTGCATTTTTTGATAGGAATAGAACAGACATGAGTGCAAGACAATATTTGTACAAAGACTTTCCAAAACACTACACGTGGAATTGGAGCACACATTGATGGAATCCCCGGCAAAGAGGATCAATGAAAGGCCGACTTGTGTCTGCAAATCCAGCTGAAGGAGAGCGGTTCTACCTATGCCTACTTTTGTCTCATGTTACTGGGCCTACTTGCTTTGAAGATCTATATAGTTTTAACGGCTTACTGCACCCTACATTTCGCAAAGCATATCTTGAGAGAGGGTTAATAGARAACGATGACAACTTATCCCAATGTCTTGGAGAGGCCTCCTTATTTCAATTTCCGGCTGCTCTTAGGAGGTTATTTGCCACGATGTTGATTTATTGTGAGCCAGGAGATGTTCGCAAATTATGGGATGACCACTATGATTCACTCTCTGAAGATTATACGCGACAATGTGAAAGTGCTAATCGAGTCCGTAATATGGTTCTAACTAATATCCTCGTTTTTTTACAATCTATGGGTAAGAGTCTTGATGATTTCGATCTTCCAGTGGTTGATGCAAATTCAAATTTTCAATCTGGAGAATTTCGTGAGGTACAAGAGGAATGCTTTATAGTTGTGGAAGATGAACACTTGCATGCCTGAGACTCTCTGAATTCCGACCAGAAATATGCATATGATGAGATCATGAGGCACGTAGACGAGGATTGTCGAGGAGTGTTCTTTATAGATGGTCCGGGTGGAACCAGGAAGACTTTTTGTACAAAGCTTTGCTTGCCGACATCCGTTCACGTGGTCTTATTGCTCTCGCAACTGCTTCATCGGGTGTTGCTGCCAATAATATGCCTGGAGGGAGAACATCTCACTCTAGATTCAAAATTCCTCTGAACCTTGATAATAACTCGATGTGCAACATAAGAAAACGGAGTGGGGCTGCTAAATTGATTCGAGATGCAAAAATAATCATCTAGGACGAAGCGTCGATGGCAAAGAGGCAGGCGGTGGAGGCGCTCGATCGAACAATGTGAGACATCATAGGGGTGGCACTCCCATTCGGTGGAAAGATAATGGTTTTGGGTGGTGATTTTAGACAAGTATTACCGGTCGTGAGGCGTGGAACCCGAGCACAGATTGTAGATTCTAGCTTGCGGATGTCACCTCTTTGGGTAACGATTATAAAGATACGGCTAACGCTCAATATGAGAGCACGCACTGATCCATGGTTTTTGGAATTTTTACTAAGAGTCGGTGATGGAGATGAAGAAGCGGTGGACGAAAGCTTTAWTCGCATACCGGATGACATGACCATTCCCTATGCTGATAAAGGTAAGTCAAAAGATGCGTTGATTGACGCGATCTTTCCATCTCTGCAAATCAACGGGGCTAATTCAGATTATATCATTTCAAGGGCGATATTGTCAACTAAAAACGTGAATGTCGACGAGATTAATGATCAGTTGATCGACAAGTTTTCTGGAGATGAAAAAATATACTACAGCTTCGACGAAGCAGAAGATGATAAGAACAACATCTATCCGATGGAGTTCTTAAATTCTTTAACTGTTAGTGGTTTGCCTCCTCATTACCTTCGTCTCAATATTGGATGCCCAATAATACTGTTACGAAATATTGATCCCTCGAATGGATTGTGTAATGGAAGTAGATTGATATGCAGAGGCTTTCAACAGAACGTCATCGATGCAGAAATAGCTGTTGRTCAGCATGCTGGAAAGAGAGTATTTCTTCCGAGAATTCCCTTATGTCCGTCTGAAGACAACATGTTCCCGTTTAAGCTGAAGAGAAAACAGTTTCCAATTCGGCTTAGCTTTTCTATGACAATCAATAAAGCTCAACGCCAAACAATTCCGAATGTAGGTGTTTATCTACCGGAATCAGTTTTCTCACATGGGCAACTTTACGTGGCGTTGTCCAGAGGGATATCACAGGGGAATACGAAGGTGTTAGTGAAGCCTGTTAAAAA